CCTAATACTTTCTGCAAGACCGGTAAAGGCATGCCAGAAATAGCATTATAAGTAGCAAAACACCTTCTGAGCGTGTGTGGTGCTAACTCGACATTAACTGGTAAATTCATCTCCTCTTTTATTTTTCCTAAGAAATCAAAAAAACTAATCCGATTAGTCTGCTGAGGTTGTCAGCTTCTTTTTTTTAGTTCTTTGGTTACTTCGGGAGCAATATAAACTCATCTTTCCTTATCTCTTTTTCCCCGCAAGAGATATAAATTCTTGTATTCAGTTTGCTGGTTTTCCAAAGATAAATCGAAATTAATGGCTTCGCTAATTCTTAACCCGACTTTTCAGCCTAAGAGAAAAAGACATTCATGCTCTGACTTCTTGAATTCTCCTTTTTTATTAGGTCGGCTAATCAGATAATCCCACACTTGCGATAAAAGTTGGTTAGTGGGGAGAACAGTCAAAGATTTTCTACTTTTTATCATTTATCTAAATTTTACTCCTAACCTTTTAATTATTACTTCTTACTTTTGAGAATGGTTTGGTAAGAAGTAGATATTTATTTTGTTCTTTCCGCAAACATAAGAGCGTATTTTGTTGGGAGAATTAGTGAGGGTTTTAATGATCTAGACAATCTTTTTCCGCCATAATACAAACTAAATTAAGTTTACTGATATCTTTCTTTCTTAAGTTAGGATGACGAGTATGCTCAAAGTCCAAATGTAAAGGTCAAAATAAATAATTTCTTTCAGGGTGTTTTTGTGAATTATTAACTTGCTCGAGAATACCAATTACTCGTTCTCCTTCCGAACCGAGAGATAATTGACAAATTCGGCTAACATTGAGTAAAAGACGGATGCTTTTTCTATCTCAGTGATACTTACTAATTTTTTCGATGACTAATTTCTTTTTCTTTTTATCAATAATATAATAGAAGTGTTGGTCTTTTTCTTTCAGTTGTTCCAAAGTATAAGTCGAATATTCAGTAAATTTCTGTAATACTTTGGCTAAGATGCCACGCACTTTACTTTGTTCCAGACGATTAGTAAAAGTTGGATCAGAAATACACCGATTAATTAGTCATTCAAAAGAAAATAACATAAATTATAAATTACCGGCTAACTTCTGAGCTTTAAATTGTAAATCACAAACTAGCAGTTCAGTATAGTTTCGTTGATAACGGCGACAAGCATTTTCTAAATGGTGAACAATTATCTCATTAGTGATATCAGGAACTTGGCGAAAGGTTGGCTGCTCATTTTTATCTAAATAAGCAAAAACGCTAGGGAGCACAGGGGTAGTTTCTCAGTCTTCAAATTGTTCTTTAAAAAGATTAATATTTTCCTTTTTCTGAATTTCGCGATAAACTAGATAAAGAGCAGGATGAATAAAAGGTTGTTCGATTCCTCTTTCTCCTAGTTTTTCATAAAAATATTTAGCCACTGAGAGAGGCGAAATATTAAGATTTTTTAGTTTAGTTGTTCGAACTGGCATAATAATGAATACTTTATAACTATAATTTTAACTTAGAAGTCTGAGTAGTCAGTTTTTTTTCCTGATAAACTTTTCAATTCTTTTGGTGCTGATTTCCTAATAAATGAGCTTTGATTATTTCCGGTGTCTTGGCAAAAGAAACTAAACAAATATAGCAGATATTCAGATTTTCTTTTTGCGGGTGATGGTTTACTTGCTTTTCTAATTCTTGTTTCTTCTGAAAATATTTTTGTTCGGGACTGAGTTGCTTGGGTTTTGGTTCTCTGGCTTTCTCTTTAAACTTAGTTTCAGATTGATTTGTAGTCTTATGGTTATAGAGTTTCAAATTCCTAATATTTTCAATTCCTTTCTTGCCCCAAGGAGTAGTGAAAATATTCCGTTCGGTTAAAAAGGCTTGGAGTTCAGTAAGTTTTTTAAACTTTAAACTTCATTTTTCATTTACTCGAC